AAGAATAAAGAGTACAGGAAAACACCTGTATCAAGACAAACTGACAAAGAGCCCTAGCATTCAGCGTTCAGAGGGGAAACAAGTCAGAGGGCTTCAGATCAGCTGGTCTGGGAGGCTTAACAAGGAAGCCATTAGAGACACCCTGCTGGGCCTAATTGTTTTGAGAAGGAATGGTACTTTGTGCCACCACCCAGCTGTGAATTCCCTGGCTTTGTCGACTAATGTCATAACCTGAAGAAAATAGTAGCTTAACCCCCCTGCTACTAATTTACTATATTTCTTCTTCTTATAACCTCCTGTACAATTGTGAAGGAACTGGTCTATAAATAAACTCCACATCTCCACTCTTAATTATATAAAGAAAACAGTATGACTGTCACAGAAAAACAATATAGAAAAAGCACAATACTGAGCATTTGCTAGAAGCTAAATAAATACTTAATGTATCAGGTCAACTTTCAAAATGTTATTTCATTATATATTCATCACAGTTGCTGGGTATGGGCCAAAAATCATTTAGGACACAAAGAAAAAATTTTGCAAATATTTTAGTATTTATTAAAATTAGGATAACTGCTGTATTTGCTTTGTAGAATAAATTTAAGTAAAAAGGTTTCATTTCTAGAATACTGAACTAAAAATAAGTTTAACACAATGAATTATTTGTATATGCAAGACAATAAATATTTGTTGAATGGAACTGGAACTATGATTGCTAAAAATTAAACAAAATCTTGTACTAAATATAGAGTACATGAACCAATACATATTTAAAAAATTCTATCAGTAGTTAAAACACAGAACACTCTTTATTAATAAAATCATTGGGATCCAGAGAGAAAAAGCTCCTTTCAAATTTTTTAAATCAAAGAGCACAAAACCCTTGGGTTACAAGCTTAACGAAACAAGGAAGCAAATATTTACTAACTTCTAAATCATAATTGTAAAATGATGACTAATAACTAGAAAGATAGATTTCCCAAAAATTTACCAAATCAATATTTTTTGTGTATTTCAAAGACACGACAAAAGTTAACTTTTCATTGGTGACAGTAAACACCTTTGCATCTGGACCAGTTTTGAGAACCCAGTTATAAGTCCTGGAACACAGAAACATGTGCTCAGTTGGAATTATAGAGCCACTCACCGCAGCTGTCCTCTCACAGTACACCACTGCCATGTTTGTGGTTTTATTCACAGTAAGTAAATTGGTGATATAAGTTTACAATAAATCATAAAGATAATACTATGAGTGTTAATTTAAGCAGTTAGAGAAAAATCTGTCTTTTAAAATATTTTTATACAGTGTGAACCAGTCTGCTTTGTACAGCATGAGAGAGACTTTGCTTTAGAGACCCAGTTCATACAACAGATCCTAGTTATACATATATTTTTAATTTACTCAAAAATACAAAGCAAATCTAATTTTAGGGACAAAAATTAAAAAGTTTCATAACAACCATAATGCACAAAGATGAAACCAAAGGTATCTTAAGTTCTGTATAATTATCCGATAAAAAAAGTTGTAAAGCTTTGTAAATTTTCAGATTAAAAAAAATCAAATAAAATCTTTGTCATGTTTTAGTTTATAATTCAGAATAATAATAATGCCAATGCTTAATTATTCTGGTGATTCTTTATTTTAAAAAATCATTTATTTTGCAACTACAGTTATAAAATATATATATATACATATATTAGTTTCAGGTGTATACCCCAGTGATTAGACATTATATAACTTACTAAGTGATCATCCTGATATATCTCGTACCCATCTAACACCATAGTTATTAGAATATTGATTATATTCCCTATGCTGTACTTCACATCCTTATGACTATTCTGTAGCAACCAATTTGTATTTCTTAATCCTTTCACCATTTTCACCCATTCCCCCAAAAGCCCTCCCATCTGGCAACCATTAAAATGTTCTCTTTATCTATGAGTCTTTCTGTTCTGCTTGTTCATTTTGTTTTTTAGATTAAATTCTTGGTAGATATGTATTTATTGCTATTGTTTATATTTTTTATCCTTTTCTTCTTCTTGAAGAAGATACTTTAACATTTCATGTAATATTATTTTGGTGGTGATGAACTCCTTTAGCTTTTTCTTGTCTGGGAAGATCTATATATGTCCTTCAATTTTAAGTGATAGCTTTGCTAGGTAGAGTAATCTTGGTTGTAGGTCCTTGCTTTTAATCACTTTGAATATTTCTTGCCAGTCCCTTCTGGTCTGCAAAGTTTCTGTTGAGAAATCAGCTGACAGTCTTATGGGAGCTTCTTTGTAGGTAACTAACTGCTTTTTTCTTGCTGCTTTTAAGATTCTGTCTTTAACCTTTTTCATTTTAATTATAACGTGTTTCGGTGTGGGCCTCTTTGGGTTCATCTTGTTTGGGGCACTCTGTGCTTCCTGGATTTGTATTTCTATTTTCTTTACCAGGTTAGGGGAGTATTCTGTCATTATTTAAAAACAGGTTTTCAATTTCTTCCTCTCTCTCTTCTTCTGGCACCCCCATGATGCAAATGTTGGTACACTTTAATTATTTGTCCCAGAGGCTCTTTATATTGTCCTCATTATTTTGGATTCTTTTTTCTTATTGTTGTTCTAATTGAGTGTTTTTTACTTCCTTATATTCCAAATTGCTGACCTGCTTCTTGGCTTCATCTACTCTACTCTTGATTCCCTGTAGTCTTCATTTCAGTTAGTGTACCCTTCATTTGTGATTGGTTCTTTTTTATGGTTTCCATGTCCTTTTTTATGCTGCTGAAGTTCTCACTAAGTTCATTAAGTATCCTTATAATTACTGTTTTGAACTATGCAACTAGTAGATTGCTTATCTCCATTTTTTCTTTTTCTGGAGTTTTGTTTTATTCTTTCATTTCAGCCATGCTTCTTTGTCTCCTGATTTTGGCACCCTCCGTATGTTTGTTTCTGTGTATTAGGTAGAGCTGCTACATATCCTGAGCTTGGTAGAGTGGCCTAATGTAGGTGTCCTGTAGGGTTCAGTGGTACAGTCTCCCTATTCACCCAAGCTGGGCACTCCAGGTACACTCCACTCCAACTGTGGGCGGTGTACACTCTCCTGTTGTAGTTGAGCCTGTATTGCTGTTCATATGTCAAGGGGAGGAATTTATCCCTAGGCCAATCAGCTACAAAGACTGGCTGTGACCATGGTAGAGGATAAGCTGTGCAGGAACCCACCCCACAAAGTACGACTTACTTCAGCAAAGCTCTGGTGCCCACTGAGTTCACTTCTTGAGTGTGTTGCTTGTGGATGTCGTTGGGTGGTACTTTGACATGGTGTGAAGCCGTCTACCATGTGCAATGGCTCTGGGGCCTCCAGGGAGGTACAGGCCAAGGTCAGCTGCTACCTATGTTCTGCCTGGGGCCCCCTGGCATGGGCATGAGTTACAAATCAATCTCCAGATGACTGCTACTTGTGCTGGGCTTAGAGGGCCCAGGAGAGGCCAAGCTGTGAACCAAGGCCAGCTGCTGCTAGTGTCAGGCCTGGGGCCATTTAGTGAAAGGTACAGGGTATGCAGAGGCTAAATGCTGCTTGTTTGAGAGATTTTAGGAAAGTCTGAAGCATGAGCCAACACAGGCTGTTTGTATGGAAAAGCCACTGGAAACAACTTGGGTGGGTCTGCAAGTTGGGTGGGGTGGGGTCTTAGGGAAACACTAGGGTGGGGCAAAAAGTGATAGACAGGTTGATGGAGATTCAGCTATGGTACTGCCTGCTGGCTCTGTGTGGGGAAGACTCTCAGCAAAGGAGCAGTGGCCTCTGTCAGCACTCTGTCTGGGAGAAAGCTGCCCCTTCAGACCTTGCCCTGATGCCAGATCATTCAGTTCCTCCCTGTATGTTCCTAGTACCCTTTGAGCTGCTGCCCCAGAGTTGGAGCTCAGAGGGAGTAGTTTGAGTAAGTCTGTGCACAGTCCCTTTAAGGGAACTTCCTGGGACTCTAGAAGCCCTTCATCTCACTCAGCTGAAATCCCTACTGGTTTTTACAGCCAGAAGTTATGGGCACTTCTTTTCCTGGCACTGGAACCCTGGGCTGGGGACCTGGTGTGGGGCCAAGACCCCTTGCTTTTCAAAGGGGACTTCCGCAGTCAAGATATCCCTCCCAATTTTTATCTGTCACATGTGGGTGTGGGAGCAACCTGTTCCATCTCTGTGCCTCCTACCAGTCTCAATGTGGCATCTTCTATATATCCTTAGTTGTAAAACTTCCATTCAGCTAGATTTCAAGCAGGTCTGTTGTTCTGTAGTTTAGCTGTAATTTTGATGTGGGAGGACGCAAGTACCACGTTTACCTATGCCACCACCTTGACCAGATGCCTGTCCTGGTGATTCTTAAATCATTCTTCCTACTTATGCTTATATTACTAATTTGCTGAAATGACTAAAAAGTTCAGAAATTGAGAAAACACAAACTTTCTTAGAATGTTGATCAACAAAATAATCCTTTTGCCACACCCTAAAGTTGTGAATTTTCATGAACTTCAAAGCTGAACTAGGACACTTGAGAAAGATAGCTTTCTTTAAGGTCCACTATTCACTTATTCTTTTTGTTCAGCCTTTTGCCCCCAAACAGTCTGACATTATGTGCTCTTCTGGTCCACCTGATCATTTTTTGCTGTCCTCTGTCAAAGCCAAGTGCATTTTTGTTGGTTTGTTTGAAGACCAGGTATTCCAGGTAACAATGAGCACACTTCTGGAGAACTTTAATATTTCTGGACTCCTGACTTACCTTTGCTAAAGGTCACACCCCAAATAGAACACCCTACTCCAGAGAATGAAGGCAACTGATAGATTATCATTTCCTATTATAGAACTACTTAGGGAGAAAGGGGACAGGTTAGTAACCAAGTGTCACGGAATGAATTCAAGCCAAAAGACTTTTTGACTTCTCAGTGAAGACCCCCACGTCCTACCAATTATTATGGTGCAGTCCAGCCTTGTCCCCTGAGGTGCTGGTTGGGTGCTGATGCCCTCTTAGGTGAGAGGCGCAGCCAGGGCTTTTGGTGGCTGAACTTTAGTGCAGCTTGTTGTGCACAGGGTAGAGTAAAGTCATGTGTTCTGCCCCCTTGAAAGGCAACTTCTCATTGGAATAATAGTGTACCACTTCGGGGATGCTGTCAAAGACTGCACTTGTTTGGTTCAGTGTGTACTTGTTGTCTTTGGTCTGAGCCACTATGATGTGGACACATCCTTGACTAGTCCTGTAACAAAACAAATCAAAGAGGAGACACAAATGAGCAAGCACGGGGATCCTTCCTCACTGAAAACAACCCCAGTCAGACTCACGGGTGGACAGGTTCATTCCTGGAATTGTTATAAACAAACGCAGACCCCAACAAATGTGTGTCCTTCAGCTGTTCATCGTTAGTACACACAAGTTATCAGGTACCAGACTGAAAAAACCCCAAACAAACCAACACCCCCCCCAAATAGTCCAGTACCTCCTGGCCTTCAAATTGCCAAACTAGTGCTTAAGCCCAAGTATGAGAGATCACTAAGGTGAAGTTTAAACTCATGTTCTTCATTATGGCTAAAAGGACATACATAAGCTTTCCTCCTCAAAGAATACATTAATAATAATAATAATAATAATAATAATAATAATAATGTTTCTTCCTCCTCCCCCTGCCTGTCCCTCTCAATCTGGAAAGACTGTTCCTGGTTGTATATAATGACAGCTGGCACTGAAGGCTCAAAGATCTAATCCATGAGCACCAGTTTCAGGAACCCAGCAAAGCTATTCCTGGTATTGTATATCTGGTGGCCTATCCCATTTTCTGAGCCATATTGCTCAAACACCCTCCCGCCCCAACCTCTTTTCCCCTCCAGTCTGATTGTTTCAGCTGCAGGGGCTCAGCTTCCTCAGGAAGGAAATGCTGTTAGGGCGCTTGACAATGATCCTCCAATATAGCACCACTGAACTCTCGGAGCAATGAGAATTTCCATGATTCAAGCTCCACCAGGCCTACCAGGCAAAAACGAATGTTCCATGTATAGTCAGACAGGGGAGTAATAGCAAGTCAGCATTTCCTTCTCCACTAGAAGAAGCTGGTATCAAAATTGCACTTGGCATTTGAACAATCAAGGGATCTGATTTATTAAAATCCCAAAACACTAGAGAACGAAAAGAAGAACGACTGAATTATCCTGTCAGAAATTATTCTTTTTACCAGGAGTTATTTCTCTGGTGAGAGGACCTACTTTAGATTGGATAATGTAAGGTAGAAATTGACTAATGTACAATGACAATGACATAGGATCCTCATTATCATAAGAGAGACTGGGGCATTCACCCAAAACCACTTTTCCATCCTAATTAGAGCATTTCATATTTCATTGTCCAAGCAAATCTTACTTTCTGGCAATATATGCTTCTGTGATCTACCTTGAAATGGTATCTTTTTTTGACTGGTCATCTACCCATGATAGAAAAGACTGTCATGCCCCCCCCTCCATCCCCCCCCGCTGGGCACCGGCTGCCACACTCACTTTAGTGCAATGGAGTACCTACTGGTCCCTGACTCGCTATTTCGAACCAGGTAACCCGCTTCTTTGCAGGATTGTAGTCGACTCTCAGCCTCAGCACGGGTGATGGCACCATGATACCAACTGAAAAATGGGTTGGGGGAGACACCATGAACATCAAAACAGAAATCTAGACAGGGCCTCATTCCATAAAGCATTATTTGAAATGCATTTCTGGCAGGAGCTCAACAGCCCAAACTAGATCCTGCTTCACATTTAGAACAGACAGAATGCAGCTTTGGGTAATCCTGGATCACAAAACCCATCAATCATACAAGAGGGAGCGACCGGGGCTAGTGTTATCACTCTATACAGGAGAATAAAATTTTGTATCAGGCTCTTGGGATGCAGTACACTTTCCAGTCTGTACAAGTGCACTGGGCTTTGAAAGTGGGTTTTCATTAATAAGCCCCACCCAGAAAAGTATTCATGAGCAATAATAATCATGTAAAATGGGCCAGTGTGCTCCCTCCACCCCCAGGCTACAGATGAGCTACCAGCTACTGTTTGTTACATGGCTGTGCAGGAGACTCACGGCTGCTTCTCCAGTGGCAGGGCTGGGTCCACTCTTTCCCCCTCACTGTGGTCAGAGAGGGCTGGCTTCAAGATCTTCTGGGTCCAGCTCTTCTGTCGGTGGTGTTGCCTCACTGTTTCCTCCTTCACGGAAGGTCTCTCAGAGCCTTCAAACTGAACTGGAAGGAAGGCTCCATTTAACTGAGGTGACCCATGTAAACGTCAAAGAAGAAAACCTCCTTGTCTGCCTCAGCTTAGGAAAGAAGCGGTTCCCCTTCCTTCAATGTGAGCTAAGATATTCTGCAAATACCCTGGGATAGCTGAGCTCCCGCTAGCTTTGATATCTGATCACACTGAGCATCCACAGACAGCTACTTTTTCTCTAAGATATTCATCAGTGTAAAACAGTTTTAGAATATGAAAGGAAACCAATTTAATATATTTCAGCACATACTTTTAAAAAACTCCAAACTGTAGTATATTTAGATTAAAAGACTAAACATAGTTATAAGGTGATGATTCCTTGCAAGCGTGTGTATCATCCTATGAAATAAAGTGAACAGATTTTACTATGAAATAATAAAACAAAAAGAAAAATCAACTGTGAAACAGAAAGTAACTACTGCGTAGTGCCTCACAGATACCACGCCATGTAGGCTGGATAGAAGAGAGAGAGAGAAAATGAGCAGCACCTAGCACAATAGCAGGTGCCCAACAGAGATTTGTGGAAAGACTAAAGGAAAACTCAAACTGACTTGGGTGTTTGCTATCCTTCTCTGTTCACCCTTTACATTAACTATACTTTTAGTTGCAAACTTGGCCTTACTACTGGAGGGAAAGACATCCCTAACTTTAAAAATCAAAGGCAAAAGAAATTATGTTGTCAGCCAAGTAGAAAAACTATGTCCTGAGAGAAGCAGGAGGGCAAATCACCTTTAATAACTACTGACAACCTATCCCTTTCCTCGTAAGCTGGTTTTAAAAGTCGTATTTAAAGAACTGATTCCTTTAGGAGGAATTCCGACAAAACAAATGAACAAATAAAGCTAGCCTCACCCAGCTTTCTGACCACCTCTGTCTGTAACCCATTGGATCCATCCGGTACTGCCATTTTATAAACAGGGATTTTAACAGGTTTGAGTTAGATTTTAACAAGAGTTAGAAAGCTGCTCCCAATTAGAAAGCTTCAGTGGTGATGAGATAGTTTTTCAATAACCATTTAAGGCACTTCCCAAACGGTCATGCACGGGGAAAAGAGAGAAAACTAAATGCCCAGAAGGATAAGAGAGAAATGCAGTATTAAGGGCTCTTCCTACCAGGCCCAATTCCTGTTTCCCTACCCAGTTCCTAGGGAAGAGATTTGCAGTTGAGGAAGCAAAAGGGAGGGGGCAGCTTTCCCAGCAGGGCAGCAGAGGGCTCAGGAACCCAGCACCCCCACCTGAGGCCGCCCCACCGGGCAGCGCCCCCACCTGGCAGCGCCCCTCACCTGGCAGCGCCCCTCATCTGACACCGCCCCCACCTGGCAGCGCCTCTCACCTGACAGCGCCCCCACGTGACGCCGCCCCTCACCTGGCAGCGCCTCTCACCTGGTGCCGCCCCTCACCTGGCAGCGCCCCTCACCTGGCAGCGCCCCCACCCGACGCCGCCCTCACCTGACACCGCCCCTACGTGACACCGCCCCTCACCTGGCAGCGCCTCTCACCTGACAGCGCCCCCACGTGACGCCGCCCCTCACCTGGCAGCGCCTCTCACCTGGTGCCGCCCCTCACCTGGCAGCGCCCCTCACCTGACACCGCCCCCACCCGACGCCGCCCTCACCTGACACCGCCCCTACGTGACACCGCCCCTCACCTGGCAGCGCCCCTCACCTGAGCCCCTCACCTGACACCGCCCCCACCCGACACCGCCCCTCACCTGGCAGCGCCCCCACCTGACACCGCCCCTCACCTGACAGCGCCCCTCACCCGACAGCGCCCCCACGTGACACCGCCCCTCACCCGGCAGAGCCCCTCACCTGACAGCGCCCCTCACCCGGCAGCGCCCCTCACCTGACAGCGCCCGCACGATCTGCTCCTTCTTCCATTCCCAGGGCTGCTCGTACTCGGCCGCCGGCCTCTCGTCGTCCTGCGGCAGCCGACCGTGGGCGTCGGGGGGCCGCGCCTTGCGCTCGGGGCCCGCGTCGGCCGGCTCGTAGGGCGTGTCGTACAGCTGCGGCGGCTTCCCCAGCAGGTCCTTGGAGCTGCGCCTCCGGGCCGGCGCCTCGGGCTTCGCGCCTGGCTCCCCCGGCTCCCCGGGGCTGTCGAGCAGCTGCAGGGCCTTCACCAGGGGATCTTTGGAACCTCGGCGTCTAATTTCTGAAAAACACGCACCACACAGAACACCTTGAAAGAAAAGTGCCAGGGAAGCCTGGCAGTGAACGGAGTTACCTTTCCCCTCGGTCTGTCTGTGCGGCAGGTGGTGGCAGAGACCGCCAACATTGATCCGTAAGGGCTGCTTGCTTCCCAGCTGTAGGAGGGAGCCTACAACCTCCCTCCAGCCAGACAGCGGATCCCAGCCCAGGATTGGGATCGCATCTGGAGACAGGTGTGCGCCTGGGCCACCTGCAGTTTGTGAGAAGTGGCCTTGGGGCCACCTGTTCCACGGTTCCTGGTCCTGTGTTGGCTCTGAGTATGGTTTACCTGCAGAGTTATTACTTGTTAGGAAGCTGAGATCAAAGTATTTTAATAAAAATCGATGGAGTGTTTATTATATTTGAAGCACGGGCACCAGACAGAGTCTTCTTGACTTCTAGGTCGTTTCAATATAGTGGGGGAAGCCAAACACATTCACAAATAACACATAACAACAGACTAATAATTCCAGGATAAATAAAACTAAAAGAGGTGTCATGGGGAAAACAAAGACACTAATGATAACAACAGCTGACATTTATCAATGGTGTACTATGCATTAAGCACTATTCAAAGTGCATTGTAATTTTCATAGCCACCCAATGAGATGGATACTATTAGTTCCCCAATATCACAGAAGAGAAGCACAGAGTTTAATAAGGAAATTGCCCAATCCATTAAGTGGCAAAGCCTGGATTCTGAAGCAGGAAGTTGGGCTCCAGAAGCCATACTCTTCACCACTACATTTGGATTGACTCCAAGTGGAAGAGAAATGGAAGATGAGTTGACTTTGATAGAGAAGGTCATTTCCAGTGGAGGAAGCTGCATCAGTGAAGATATGGAGGTGGGAACCATAAAGGGCTTGTTCCCAGAAGGGGGAATTGAGAGATAAGTTCAAAGGACAGAAGCCAGGAGAGGAGAGAGGTAGTGGGAGAAGAAGCCAGAAGAGTAGGAGGCCAGGGCACCAGAGTGCAGAAGCTGTAAAGGCAAGGATGCAATGAAAAATGATTATATTTTTTAAACGAGTAATAACAGTTACATTTGTGTTTTGTTGGGAGATAATTCCGACAGTGTACAGAATGGAATAAACCGGAATGGTATGGTCTGGACTTGGACAAAGAAGACTGAGAAGAAGTGATCAGGTAAGAAATGGATGCAGAAAACCTGATGCAAATCAACCAACTGCTAGCTAACCAGCCAGCCACAGTGGGAAAAAAATCAGCAGTATCTATGGGACTGACCAGCTTGGAGCCCAGAGGCCTTGGCAGGTAGAGTTAAAGATGTCTAGAGTCAGGACAACCAGAGCTGGTGATTTAGACCAGCAGAAACATTATGTGGTTCTTCTGGATGCCCATCAGGAAGCCTTTAATCTGTTCACTTGGTCACGGTCAAGGAGGACCTTTCTATTTTTTTTTTTATCCTCACCCGAGGACATTTTTCCATTTTTTGTTCAGATGGAGTGGGAGGGAGAGAGAGGAAGAGAGAGAGAGAGAGAGAAACATCGATATGAAAGGGACACATCAAGTAGCTGCCACCCACATGACCAACCAGGGCCGGGGACAAACTGCAACCGAGGCACGTGCCCTTAGCGGGAACCGGACCCGGGTCTCTCTGTACCGCAGGCTGACACTCCAACCGCTGAGCCAAACCGGCCAGGGAAAGGAGGACCTTTCTAAACACAAACATCACATCATTTATCACCCCATAAGGTCACACCTGTCTACTTATAAGGTACAAACTGCTCAGCATGGCATGGGAAACCTTCTATGACCAGTTCACCGTCTCCTTCTCCAATTTCTTCTCAATACAATCCTGCCCCGTCCCTCCGCAATCTAATTCTTTGTTCCAACCAAATGGTACAAAGAAATTCCCTGAGTACTACACTGCCTTATGCCTACTAGTGTCCGAGTGATCTTCCATCCTTTGAAATCTAACCTGGCATCTCCCCTTCCAACTCCCCACCTCTCCTAGTGCCACCACTCTGCCAACCCACTCTCACCTTGCACTTCTCCCACTGTAGGAACTTGTTTCTGTGTCTGTATTTCCAATTTGGTGGGGACTGCCAGTTCTTGTTTACCTTTGTAGGACACACAGTTGTGCTAAATAATAACTGGATGGATGGGAGGAGAGAGAGAGAGGAAGGAGCTTTAGAACTTCAGGCATGTGACAATATGGATCTGGAGAGATGAAGGTCAGAGTTATGCACCAAGGAGTTATTCACAAATGGGTTGTTAGTACTGTGAGAATGAAAGCAATCACCAGAGGAAAGGAGACTGATTGAAAAGTGGATCAAAGGTGGAATCTGGGACTTCTGTTAAGGGTGAATGGAAGAGGTGCTAGCAAAGAAGACTGAGAAGGAGTAGTCAGGTAAGGAGGAAGAGGATCACAAGATTGCCGTGCCATAGAAACAAAAGAAAGTGAGACTTTCTGTAGGTAAAACAGGCAGGGTGACACTCTGTGGAGAAGGATCAGATTCTTCTATAGCAAGGAAAGACCTCTTAAACAAGGAAAGGACAACACATGAAAGATTCAGGGAAAAGTTATTAAAATCAGGACACTAAATTAGAAAGAACAAAATGTATTGATAGAGTGAGGTTTAATTCTGCTGGATAGGGGTCCCTGACTGCAGTTCATTGGAATCACCTGGGGAGCTTTGACACCCACTGATGTCTGGGTCCTATCACCAGAGGTCCTAATTTAATCGGTCTGGGGTATGACCTGGGAGTTAGTTGCAAAAGCTCCCCCAGGTGATTCTAATGAGAAGCACTTCCACACCTCCTGGGTCTCCATGGTTCCCCTCCCAGTTCTTCCTGCTCCCTAGAGCTCATCCTGTCATTGCTAGCTCCAACCCGAAGAGAAGGGTTCTCCTGTATCTAGAGCTTCCACATCAGAATGGGAGTGGGAGCGCTAGAAAGACTGTCCCCTCCCCCAGGCCAGAAAAGGTACTTGGGGTTGTCTGAGGTCTCCTGCATCTCTGGTCCAAGCCTCTTGACTTTCAATGCAAGTTGTTTTTTTTTCTTCATTGCTTATTCCAGACTGAGTTATGGAAAATAAGAAACAAAAACATACTCTGCTCTTGGTTCAATTAAGATAAGGCTGGAGTTTTTTAAAAGGAAAAAGAAAACACAAAGGAATTCATAGGATGGATTTAGAATTTTTAAGTTTCTGATCGAAACCCAAGTTTGCCCTCAGTTTAGTCTAGCATGGGTTGGGGAAACCTTTCGCAAGGTCTTTGTCTCAATTCTGTCCCAGTTGAACTAAGAAAAAGAGTTGATTCCAACCTTAAGATAGAAGTCATACAAGAAAATTTCAATAAATTTGTGTTAAAATGATGCACAGTGATTAGAATCCAGAGTTCTTATTACACGTATGTTTGAGTTTTTACTTTTGAGATGAGGTCCTTGCACTTCTATTTTAGGCAGTCTGCACACAGAGCTCTGGGAAAAACACTGGAAAGCATATAACTGAGAATTTTCCTTCCTGAGATGATCCTGGGATTGGGCAAAATCTGCAAAGTATTATCATCTTTTCAAACAATGTTTAATTAGGGGAAAAAAAGGGCTTAAGCACAGGGCCCTTCTGCCCCTTCAAGGGGAGTAACCTTTCAGTCCATTCCAACACCTGGCTGCCCCCAATCAGAGGCGCCATAGAAACAGAAACAATCATGGGGCTGCAAGCCGACCCTTCCTGCAGGGAGAATAGCCCCTGACGTGCAGAGCTGGCTCTGAGAGGAAACGGGCCTGAGAAGGAGGAAATGGCGAGAGGAAGCTACGCCCTGGCTTTGCCGATAGAGGCCATTTACATGGCAGACAACAGAATGCGGCCAACAGTCTGCAGATAAACACCCATCTGCAGCTAAAACCCAGGCCTGACCTGCACCAGCTGACATGGTGGTGTGAAACAGAATATGGGCTGAAATCTTCCCTTCCCAATTCCCAGCTCTGGCTGTACATAGTTATGCCACTTATACCAAAAAACATAGCAGAAAACTAAGACTTCCTTTTACTAAATTAATTGCAGTTAGCACTTGTTAATCCTCTACCTGTCCAGAATTCTCTTTGAAAATGGAATTCCCTCTCTGGAGTGTCTAAATAATGGCTGTATGCATTGGGAGGCATGGACTAGTGTGTTATACCCAGTTTTTCAGTGAGGCCTCATAATGGGGCGAGAGTAGTGTTATCCCATTTTCACAGGTGAATAAACTGAGGCTGTGCAGCAATCAGTGGGGGGGCTGTTTAACACTGACTCTAGGGCTTTCTCTATCATTCCTTACTTTATGCCCCAAAGACCTCAGGTAAAACGTTAATTACAATTTCTATAATGCACCTTTTCCCCTGATTCATTTCATAATTTAGTCTATGCCCAACTTAAAACTTAGAACCTCATAGGGTCTTTTATCTTCATAGAATCAGAAAAAGGGTTGCCTCTTGCCCAGAACCCAACCTGCCACCTTTTGGTGCACTGAACGATGCTCTGACCAACTGAACTACGTGGGCCAAGGCTGTTAGGTAACTTTTTACTCACGTCTTTTATCAGTGCTCAAGCTTTTAATTTAAAATTACTTTAATATTTTCTGAGCCAAAGGAGATATAATTCAGAAGCCCTGAAATTTAATCCTAACAAGGGAATTTTTTATTAACAAATTAAATAAAAAATAGACTTCTATTTATATATATTTCATTATGGTTAAATTTTTAAATGGAGACCTGAACAATGAGATGCTCCTTTAGACTTCACCATTTTTATTATTATTACTTTTTAATCCTCACCCAAGGATATTTTTTCATTTATCTTCAGATAAATGAGTAAGGCAGGAAGACAGAGAGAGAGAAACATCAATGTGAGAGACACACACCGACTGGTTGCCTCCTGCACGACCCCAACCAGGGCCAGGGACAAACCGTAACCAAGGTATGTGCCCTTGGCTGGAATCAAACCTGGGACTCTTTGGTCTCCGGGCTGATGCTCTAACCACTGAGCAAAACTGACCAGGGCTAGAGATCACCATTTAAACCAACAAAAAAAATTTGGAGGCCAAAAAAAAATTTTTTTTAATCCTCACTTGAGGACATTTTTGCTTTTATCTTTAGATAGAGTGGGCGGGAGAGAGGGAGGAAGAGAGAGAGAGAAACATCGATGTGAGACAGACACATTGAGTGGTTGCCACATACATGACTCCAACGAGGGCCGGGGATAAACTGCAACTGAGGTATGTGCCTTTAGTGGGAACCGAACCCAGGACTCTCTGGTCCATGTGCCAACGCTCTAACCGCTGAGCCAAACCAGCCAGGGCAAAAAAATAAAAAATTTAAAACCACCTGCGATGGAGCTCCGTAACTAAAATCAAAGGTTGTAAAATGACCTGGTATCTCGACTCTGATGCTGCATAATTTGGACAAGTTATTAAATCTTTCTGAACCTTGGTTTCCTCAACTATAACACAGAGACTTCTAACACCTACTTCTCAGGGTTGTAGAAGTTAGTGAGGCAATTTGTCAAGCTTGGCACCTAGCAAGTGCTCAACTTGTGAGATACCAGCTATGGAAGGATTTATTTTTTATCCTCACCTGAGGATATTTTTGCATTTATCTTCTAGTAGAGTGGGAGTGAGGGAGGGAGAGAGAGAGAGAGAGAGAAACATCAATGTGAGAGAGACACATCGACTGGCTGCCACCCACACGGCCCCAACCGGAGCTGGGGGCAAACTGCAACCGAGGTACATGCCCTTAGTGGGAACCAAACCTGGGACTCTTGGGTCCACAGGCCAATGCTCTAACCATGAAGCAAAACTGACCAGGGCAGGAATTTTGATGTTGAATGATGGCTGTTTTAGGGAGCTTCTAAAGACCCCTTTAATGCTTAAGTTTTAATCTGGTGGCTAAAACCCATAATGCTAAACTATATAAAATATTTCTACTAATTACTTAGCTACAGTGATCCTGCTAATTTAGCAGAACAACAGTATCTAATATTAGTGCCTTATATCCATAGTCATATCTTTTTACGAACAATCCTCTGAATAAATCTAAGCAAGAATTTATTCATTAATTTATACATTCTTCGCTTTTAAAAGTTAAGAGCAAAGTCTTAGAAGACATCCAGGAAGCCTGAGTCCAAGTTATCTGGCCACAGGAAAGTACTAAATGACTCTTAATTTCTATTTCTTCCTCTGTCTCTTGAGGCAGATGATTATTCTGTTCTCTACCTCATGGCACTTACCACACTTTTCAATGACATATTTTCTTCTGTATTGCTGTTAGTCTGTTAGCCTCTTTGACTGTGAGGTCCATAAGGACATAGGTCATGTGGGTCTTGTTCCCTGTATGCTCAGATCCCAGCACAGGGCCTGGTACATGGTAAAGAAATATTTGTTGGATGTTATAATATAACATCATGAACAGTTTTCTATATACCCAAGATACTGTTAAAATCAGATATGTTGTTCCCACTTCACAGGTATTAAAAAGGGAGGACAGAGATTGGGTGCTCCACAGTTAAATCATTCATTAGTGCTATCTCTTCCTCCTACAGAAATGCTGAAAAAAACTAAAAAGAAATCCCTAACATTTCTCAAGAAATATGGGACATTTCTGAAGTTGGACTTGACAACAAATCACACAAGGAGTAAACTGGACAAAAAGGGTAAAAGGTTTTATAAAAAAAACAAAACCCAGCAGCAAATCTTTTATTCCCAGCTTCCGATAAACTCACTTCCTGTTATTCTGTCCAGCTGTGTAACCTATGGGTAGAATAAGAAGTATATTCTCTACATTGATTGAGAAAGTGCTTTTTGATATATATTGTAAAATGCACCAATATTTTAAAAAATGTAAAAATCTAGTAATTTTAAAAAGCAATTTAAATTTTTAATAAATTTGAATTTATTCTCCAATTGAATATATTAATTTTGTATTCCTAAATAAATTTATTCATGTAAACAACTTAAAACAGAGCCTGGAACTTAATAAATGCTTGAATATTAGATGCTAGCTATTATTATTATTATTACAGTTACTTCATGGTGGGTAACTCTGACTATAACCCTCTTTGTGAGTCTGAGTAGAAAGATACCTTACTTATGAGTAAAGTTTAAAGTGCTATTGCATGCATCATTTCATATGTTTTGGGGCAACTTGGTGTAGGACGCATACCACCCCATCTGGAGTGGGAAGATCTGGGTTCTAATTGCTGCTCTTACAAAGTCTTGTGAGCATCGGTAAGTCAGAATTTCTGTGATTCTATAACAAGGGGACAGTATTGGAGTCCCCTAGTTTACAGAGTTTTGTGGGGATTATAAGTGGGGGAAAAGATATATTCATTTTTGAAAAGCACAGCACTTTCCCTATTATCAGTGTGGCTCCACAAATAAACAGCTGGGCTAGTATAGATAAACTACTTATTCCAGCCAAAGAGAAAGAGGAATAAAAACCAAGACAAAGAAAGGTGAATCAAAAGGAAGCACTTATTTAGAATATCTTTTTCCTCAATTTTATGTGAAAAGAAATCTTTTCCCCTATTTTTTTCAAGCCTCCGATATTTTTTAAAATTCTAACTTCATTTTCACTTCCTTTCATTCACAGACTTCATTAGAGGTCACAGTCCAGTGACCTTCAGGGTCACAGCCTGGCCAGGGTACACCCTCCCCAAACCCCAGCCTTATCTCTGCAAGCAGAGCGCAGGAAACGGAGCAGGGCTTTCCTGTGGCAGTTCGTTTTCATTTGGAAGCCTGTCTTGACCCTTCCAGGGTGCTGCCGTTACCCTTCGGCTCAACTCTTCTGAGACTGCTTATGGAGCCTAAGCTTGACAGCTTTTCAATCTGGTTTTAAACAGAAGAGACAGTCTTCAATGTGTAACCGATTATTCCTTTCCCAGGTACGAAATCCATGGCGCTCAAACAAGGCTCCTTTGCATTAGCACTCGGATACTTTATTTCTCATTGTGAATTAAAGAATGTTTAAGGGAAATTAGGCAAATAAATAACTTACCCTAAAATTGACAAATAAAACTAAATAACTACTAAATATATCATTTTAAAGTATTGTTGACATCAACTTAAGAGAATTATGAGTAAAAGGGAAAAGTTTGATACCAAAAATGACAGGGTGATTGCTTAGCTCACAAGATGGAATTATCCCAACTTGAAAAGTTACAAGACTGTCAAATTGTTTTAGGAGGTTTGCCTTGAACGGCTTGGCTCATGCCAGTGATTAGTAATCATTCCTTAGTTATTAAATATTTTGCTCCAATGTTGTAGAGCTTGTTGAGAAATCAATCTTCTACTAGAATACTGAGGACTATGTCATTTTGCATCTTTTAACAACTTAAAATCCTTTAAGTATGTATTAGTCCCTTGTATTAGTACAGATTTATGACTTCCATGATGGATGTCAAAGCATTGAAAGTGGCCAAGAAATGTATATAAGTATCTTAAAACTGAAGATTACATTCTGAGCAGATCTGCAAACTCATTATGAAAGAGTGCCATTTTATTCAGGATTAGAAACACTTTAAAGACCCCTGTAAATTCTAAAACTGAAAGATACAGAAAGTTAGCTAGATACTTGACTTCGGTTTTGGGTCAAATTTCTCTTTCTTCTAGACAGCAGGATCTGGTTAAATTGCTTGATCCCCCTTCCCTAAACGTACAGTGGTTACTATTTTACACACTCTAAGTGAGCGTGAGATTTCTGCCCCTATTAAGCAGCTCCTGGTTACAAACCTGTTATCATTTGCTGTGCATCATAGGGTTCCATGTAGCCATCATTCTCTCCTACTCTCTCTGCATCCCTTTGACCTTTTGTCCGTTTGGCATCATACGGGTCAGCATAGTCTTCTAAAATGATGACCTGTAAAAGAACCAGAGAGAAGAGTTGATAAGGATGATCATATGCCCGAATGGCAGTGGTCGCAAAATGGCTACTGACAATCTGCTGATCTGAAAAGACATCAAAATCTCCAACCAGTTCTGGATAGCTTTTGCACTTGACCATGTTATTCACCCAGGTGCACAAACATCTGATTTTTTTTTTTTTGGTATGTGCCCCTAGTGGAACTGAACCTGGGACTCTGGTCCGCAGGCCGACACTCCGCTGAGCCATACCGGCCAGGACCATCTGATTTTTTTTTGTAGTATAATTGATTGTCAGTAGTTCATCTAAACTCTGCTGATCCCTAAGGCTATTTTCACCTTTTCTTTCCCTAAACAATAAAGCATTTGCTGGGTTATGGCAGGGGTGGTGATGAGGAGTGGGGGATGTCTATAGCTATATAGCATAAAAAAATGAACTGGTCTACCACCTTCCCCATGATCTTGGTCTTTTTAATACCAGCTAGATGAGCAAGTCATGGTAAGTCAGTCAATCATCCAGGCGCTGCTGAACGTCTACTAGCACTGACTAGGGAATCAAAATAAGACCAAGACCTGCTTCTTGTCCTCAAGGAATTTTTAACAGCTTAAGGAAACAGGCTTCCTAATAAGAAATAGGTCAGTACTAAACAGTATTGTGGGAATTCTAGGTTCAATAATTCATAGGCAGACTTATTCTCATAGGCTATAATCAGATAGAGTTTTGATTAGTATTTGTGTCAGAAAGCACCTATTCTTCCAAAAATACACAGAGGCCTGGAAAGGTGGTGTGTAGGCAGGAGTGCTGTTCTGCAGCAGCTGTGTGACAACGTGGTGTCAGGTAAGAAGCCCCTTCTCTGGAAAGAAGCCTGCTCTATAGTCTCTGATTACATTCTCAGAAGAGTTCATGGAGAAGGACCACTGGAGCTGGCAGGAAGAATTTAGATAAACAAGAAGTGAGGAAGAGGGAACACCTGGGTAAGAGCCCTCCGCTTGTGAGGAGATGGCTTAAAAAACTCAGACATCCAGAGGTGACCATGAAAATAAGCAGGCAACCACTGCTGAGGTCTGTGATTAACCACTCACTCCCTCACTCCTTTCTTCTGACTGTCCACCACGTGTACTACATTCCCAACGTAGTGAGGAATGGAAAGTGTGATATGCAGCCCTGGCTTATGATCTAGTCAGTCAGGTAGACCACTGATATTTGGACCAGCTGGGACCTTGGCAATCTCTCCACAGCTCTCCCCCAGTGCCTGGGCACAAGGTAGGTATGCTGTAAATATTTGTGGAAAGAATGAATGGAGGAATGAACAAAAGTGCCCAATACAGACACACGTGGTCTGTGCTACTGGCTCCTGACTCCATTCAGGTAGCCGGAATGCTTTAAGTTTGGGTAAGAGAAATAGAAAGTGATCATTCGGGTTGGAGTCTGAAAGCTCAGTTGAGCTCTTCTCTCTCCTCTTTTCACATAGAAGAGTGGATTTAAAACAAACATCCAACTCATCTCTGTAAATTAGAGTCTCTTCACATGCTCACAGCACCCAGAAAACCTCTGATGTGCCCAAAGCAGTTCTCTCCCCATCTGTAATTTCCTTGAGAGTGTTTCTTTGTTCCATCTGTAACCCCCTGCAGAGCCCTGTGCCCCTTATTCTCTTTGGCTGCTGCACAGCAAATGGTTATGGGATGAATGAAAGGGTTGTAACCTTGGGGTGCTAGTGAAGCTTCGAGAAGCCCTTTACTAGGTGGAGTTTCTGAACTAGGGGTGGGGTGGGGTGGACTGGCCAACCCATTCTCTGGAGCTTTGAAACCCACACTCACACAGTTTGGAGGTTACAATTCCTTATGCTCAAGAAGAATTAAATTGATACAAAGTCTAGCTTTGCACACCATTGGATGTCGAAATTAAAATAAACTCCCATCTGCCCGGTATGGCTCAGTGGTTGAGCATCCACCCATGCACCAAGAGGTCGCAAGTTCGATTCCCAGTCAGGGCACATGCCCAGGTTGTGGGACAAATCCCCAGTGGGGGGAGTGCAGGAGGTGGCCAACCCATGTTCTCTCTCATTGATATTTCTCTCTCTCCCCCTCTCCCTTCCTCTGTCTCTAAAATCAATAAAGAAAAAAAAATTAAAATAAACCCCCATCTATAAGGGGGCCAAATTGAACAAAGATGGAACGTTTCATTCAATTACTCTTCTAAACTGCTAACAAAATTAAATGGATGTTACATTTCTGCAAAGTTCACTCCTGGAATGAGGATTTTTCAAGATTAAAAAACACACAAAAAAACTAAAGATTTTGAATGGTCACTTAGGAGTCACCAAATGTTAGAGGGGGTTAGCAGGTTCGCTATGCTCTTTCCCACTGTTTCACTTCAGTAGGGGACAGGTGGTCCAGGGGAGGCTTTATTCTTACCGTGTCCTGCTGCTTAATAATCTTGCCCTTGTCCAGTTCTGGCCCCAGGGAGGAAGGGGAAGAGGACGCGGAGGAAGAGCTGCTGCTACTGCTGCTGCTGCTGCTGCTGCTGCTACTGCTGCTAGGGTAGCTGCTCTTCCCATTCTTCTCCTGAGTGTCCACCTTGATGAGCCTGTTGATGTAGGTGCTGCAGCCTGAGCTCTTGGCCGCGGCCCGGTGGGGCTCCTCTTCAGTGGCCCTGGAGTTCTTGCGGCTCTTGCCCGCGGCGGCCTGAATGAGTCCCTGCAGGCTGTCGCGAGACAGCCGGCTGTCCTTGGTGGGGGCGATGCCGGCCCTGCCACCCCCTAGCTCGGCCACCGAGTTCTTGCGGCCCTTGCCCGGGGTGGGAACCGCACCGCCCGCCTCTGAGTTCTTGCGCAGTTTGCCGCTTCCACCGCCGCCGGGCTTGGCCCGCTCCGACACGGTCTTCAGGTTCAGGGGGAACTCCTTGAACCACTTGGCCGCCATGAGGGGGGCCCGGCCGGCGCGGCTCAGGAGCGTCGTGGCCGCGGAGCAGGTGAGCGAGGAGGCCCAGCGCAGACACGGAGAGGCTCCAGGGGCCGGGGGCCACTGCATTCCCCGGGGCTGAGGCGCTGGAGGCCGCGGCGAGGCCCTGCGACAGCTGCTCCGCGCGTCCCCAGCGGGCGTTCGCCCACGCCCGGCAGGGTGGGGCCCCTCCGGCCCCGGGCGCCGAGCGGGCGGGCGCGGGCCGCTGCTCCGGACACGGACGGCGACAGGCACGACGCACGGGGGCCCCGCCCGGGCTCGTCTTTAGCGCCTGCACGGCCCGGGGACTCCGCGGCTCTCCGGAGGCGGCGGGCGCCGGGGGCTTCCCCTGAGTTTTCCTCCCGGAGTGGGAGAGGTCCGGCCCACGGAAGCCCCGGGACAGCCCTGCCCACACTCCCAGGGACGAGAGGGCACGGGAGGAGGTGGCGGGAGTGTCCGGGCGTCGCGACAGACGGGGGACCGACGGCGGGCCGCCCACCCCCTCCGCGCGCCCCACCCCTCGGCGGTGGCGCCTCCCAGCCCCGCCACCTCCAACCCAGATCCGAGGATGGTGGGGTCGAAGCTTCTGCAGGAGCAGATCCAGGCGTGTACGTTCCGGAGAAAGTGGCAGCAGCTGCACGTGCTGGCCGTCCGCGCCTCGGTGTTCAGAGTCCCCCCACTTCTGCACGGAGCGCGTCTCCGCCGGGAGCTGCCTTCAAATGCGCCCAGCGTGCGCCACGTGCTTCTCCCCCACCCCGGAAGCAGCCCCACCTCCCCAGAGAGCCAGGCGAGCCGGCCCGCCCCCTGCACCCTCTCTGTAAACGTTATTTTGGGGGGGGGTGTGTGGAGGGAGGGGGGTGTCTAATAAGAGTGGGCGCGGAGTCAGCCCTCGCTCGCTCCGGCCCCGGGGACAACGCAGTCACTCTCCTGGAGCGCCGCCCGGCGCCTCGAGGATCTTCCCGCCGCCCAGCCGCCGCGGCTCCGGGATTGGTTGCGGGGAGCGGCCCGCCCCGCGCCTCGCGGGTCTCAGAGGAGGCGGGGTGCGGAGCGAAAAGGCGGCCAGACTGGCGTTGGGGCTGCGGGGTGGACGCACCTGGTTCGGGAGAGGTACGGCCCTGGGCTGCAGGGTGAGGAGTGGTGGGGACAGGGGCGGGGGGACGCAGGTGTGGAACTCGCACCCCGTTACCACTCCAGGTTGGCAGGGCGCGCTGTTATGGAGGAGCTGGTCGCTTGCTTGCGCCAGAGGCGTCTGCAGAATTGTTTGGTGGGGGTGGTGGGATGGTGGGGGTGGTGAGTGGGAACCGACAGCGGTGACTGGCGCTGTGCAGGTGGGGAGCATTTTGTGGGGAACTGTGGGCCACTCTACGTTAAAAGAAGCGTCTGCCATCCTCCTCCTTTCTGAAGCAATATTAAAACCTTATAGCTTAAAAAAACTAAACGTGCCACAGAGGCTCACATAATACGTTCTAAATCTTCTCTACAAGCCACTGGGGCTGAGTGATCTTGCCCATCGGCTTCATTTGTGAGTGGTGCTTTGTGAGCTGGAATGGCAAAAGAAACGCTTTCTTACACCAACTTAAAAAAAAAAGCTTTATTGAGATATAATTTGCACACCATAAAGTTCAGGTTTTAAGTGTGCAATTAAAAATTAGTTATTATATTTACAGTAGCACCACCACCACAACCTAATTTTAGAACATTTCCATCACCTCAGAAGGAAACGTGCCCCTTAGCTATTACAACTCATTCCCATCTCCTCCTTGCCACCCCACGCAGCCACTAATTTACTTTCTGTCTCTACAGATTTGTCTGTTTTGGACTTTTCATGTAAATGGAATCATACAATATGTGGTCTTTGTGTCTGGTTTCTTTCCTTTAACATCATGTTTTTGAGATTCATTTATGTTGTAGCATTTAGCAATACTTCATTCCTCTTATATTGCCAAATTAGATTCCACTGTATGGATATACCTCACTTTATCCATTTGTACATCAGTTGTTGGACATTTGGGTTGTTTTCACTTTGTGGCTATGTTCCCACCAATGCTGTTATGAATATTTGTGAACAAGTCTTTGTATGGACATAGGTTTTAATTCCCCTTAAGTAGATACCCAAGAGTGGAATTGCTGGGTCATATGGAATTCTGTGTTGAACTTTTTGAGAAACTGCCAAACTGTTTTCCAAACTGGCTGCACCATTTTACATTCCCACCAGCGATATGAGGATTCCTGTTTCTCCACATCCTCAACACATTATTATTGTCTGTCCTTGATATTACAACCATCATAGTGGGTGTGAGGTGGTGTCATTGTGGTTTTGATTTGCATTTCCCTAATGACTAATGATGTTGAGCATCTTTTTCATGTGCTTACTGGCTGTTTGTATATCTTTGGAGAAATGTTTATCAGATCATTTATCCACTTTCTAATTGGTTTCTTTCTTTCTTTTTTAAAATCACCACCAGAGGATATTTTTTCCATTGATTTTTTTTTTTTAGAGAGGGTGGAAGGGGAGGGTGAGGGGAGAAACATCAGTGTGAGAGAGACACATTAACTAGTTGCCTGCTGCACGTGCCTGTAACCAAGTTACGTGCCCTTGACCAGGAATTGAACTTGAGACCCTTTGGTGCTAGGCCAGCAGCTCTAACCACTGACCCATACTGGCCAGAACTCTAATTGGTTACTTTATATTGTTATTGAGTTTTACTGGTTCTTTGTATATTCTTTGTCTTTTAAAAACATAAATAAGATAGTTCTCCAGACCGAGCAGTAGAGTGAAAATTTCTGACTTTGGAATGGTGTGGTCTGGATTCTAAAAACAGGCTTTTCCATTAATGAGCATAGATTGTTGTCTTGGGACAAATGACCAGATTATTATCTGTGCACCTCCAGGACTTTATCTGTACAATGGGGTCTAGCTCTTAGGGTTTCTAGTGAGGATTAAATGAGACAATGTACATTAGCTGTTAGCACCTGGCAGGCCCTTAAAGGCATCTTGGAAAGATTTGTACTGGGCCTTTGCTTGGGAGGTGGTTGGTGCCTGCCCTGTTCCAGAAGCCCATAGACTTTTCTGGGGGTTACCAGGAAATTGAGACAAACACCCACAACCCAGATTCTGCCTATAAACCTCTCTGTTTGTATTTATCCATATCTAAGTCTTTAAATCATCTTAACCACTTTTAGTTCTATTTAAATTTAGTTGTAGCTAAAGTTGTTGTTTCCCCCTGCAGCTGGGAACAATTTAGGCGAAGAGTTACCATTTTCTTTTAAAATTTAATGTTTTAATTAAATGTTTTAAGTAAGGAAAAACAAAAAACAAACCCAACCCTTTAAAGTGACTTTGACAGCCCTCGTATCTGTAGGGAAAGAACCAAGGCTTTGGAGTCACAAACCTGTGTTACCTCACTACCTTTTATAATCTTAAGCAAATCATCTGGTGTCCTTGATCTTTGCCTTTCCCATCTGTAAATTGAGAAGATATACTCCACAGGATTGTAGGAGAGGACTGGTGAAATGCGTAAAATGAAATCCAGTGGCCACCATTTATTGAGCTCTTAATACGGGACAAGTGCTTTAAGCACAGTACTGCACTTCACTCTCATAATCTAGGGCATAGATGTTTTGTTTCTCATTCGACAGGTAAAATGTGTCCAAGGTCTCTGTGCTGGACTCCAAACCACATCTCTCCAACTCCAGGCTGGCCACTGTGCAGAGGCGGCTGTGGTTTTAAAGCTGCTCATGGCAACTATTTTCTATTTGCTGTTATGACAAATTACCACTTGTTTAGTGGTTTAACAAAACAAACCTCCAGTTCTATAGGTCAGAAGTCTGACATGTCTCACTGGGCTAAAATCCAGGTGTCAGCAGGGCTTTGTTCCTTCTGGAGGCTTAAGGGGAGAACTGTTTCCTTGCCTTTTCCAGCCTGTAGAGACTGCCTGCATCCCCTGGTTTGTGGCCTCCTTCCTCTGTGCTCAGGCCAGCAACAGTGGTGGAGTTCTTGTCATATCGCATTGATTTAATCTTGCTTCGGTTGCACATCTCTTTATCGACCCTCTCTGTTTCCCCTTTTCACTTTGAAGGACTCCTATGATTACTACATCAGGCCCATCTGGATAATCTATTTATTTTTAATCCTCACTTGAGGATATATGTTTATTGATTTGAGAGAAAGAGAAAATCATTCATTGGTGCCTCAACTGGGAATCGAACCCTCAACCTTTTGTGTATGGGATGATGCTCCAACCAACTGAGCCACCTGGCCAGGGCTGGATAATATATTTATTTTGTTGTTGTTAATCCTTATCCAAGGATATTTTTTGCTTTGATTTTTAGAGCATGGAAGAGAGGGAGGTAGGGGAAAAGAGAGAGAGAGAGAGAGAGAGAAACATTGATGTGAGAGAGACACACCAGTTGGTTGTCTCTCACACATACCCTGATTGGGGCCAGGGATTGAGCCTGTAGCCCAGGTATGTGCCCTTGACCAGGAATAAAACTCAAAACTCTTCGGTCCACGGGCTGTCACTCTAACCACTGAACAACCGACCAGGGCTGGATAATCTATTTTAAGGTCAGCTCATTAGCAACCTTAATTCCATCTGCAACCTTAATTCCTCCTTACCATGAAACTAACATATTCATGGGTGTGATATTGTGAATTATAATAAGAAATAGGTACAGTATTTGGGCTTTGTCCAGTTCCTGACACAAGGCTTCTAAAACCTTTGGAATTGCCTAAGTGAGGAGAGCTGACTTTGTTAATGAGCTGACTTTGGAAAGCCCCTAAGGAAGGGGCTGTTTGGCAGGGGACCCAACCAGATAATTAGAGGGTTGACATTTTCCCTTGGTCCATCCCTCTTTCTGGGGAGAGGCTGGAAGTTGAATCAATTGCCAATGGCCAACAATTTAATCAATCTTGCCTATGTAATGAGGCCTCCATAAAAACCCAAAGGATGGGGTTTGGAGGGCTTCTCAGTGGGTGAACATGTGGAGATTTGGAGAGAGTGTTTCACCTGCAGGGCCTGGAAGCTCTGTACCCTTTCTCTAGATCTTGCCTTATGCATCTCTTCCATTTGGCTACTCAAATCTGTGAGCCACTCTAGCAAATTGATTGAACCCAAGAGGAGGTCTATGGAACCTCCAGTCAGAAGCACATGTGGTAACCTGGGCTTGCAAGTGACTGACCTCTGAAGTGGGGGGCAGTCCTGTAGGACTGGGCTCTTAACCTATGGAATCTGACACTCTCTCCAGGTAGATAGTGTTAGAGTTGAGTAGAATTGTTGGACATCAGCTGATGTCCAGAGCATTGCTAGGTGGTGTGGAAACTCCACATTGGAATTGGTGGCTAGAATCCTTAATAGGTTCTGGGGATTAGGATGTGGACCACTTTGGGGGCCATTCATTATTCTGCCTGCCACAGTACCTGCTCAGTAGTTACGTGCTGGTGAGGTATCCTGGCACTCCTCTAACTGTGGCTGGTTGGCTTTCAGGAGATCCTGTTGGGAAGAAACTGCAGCATGTAAGTCACTTCCTTTTGTGATAAGCCTCCCTCCACCAAGGAGCCTTCTCTTCCTTCTCTTCCTGCCTCACGGGGCTCAGAGCTTAAGAGTCACCTCCAGGATTTCTTGCCTGTTGATTAACAATGACAAAGGTCCGGTGGAGGGCTTCCTGGTTTGGAACCTGAATCTGGGAGGAGGAAGGGAAACCATTTGTCAGAAAAGGGGATGGGAGCTTCTTATGCCCAAACTCCTTTTGTTGGAGTTTGGGCTTGGGTGGAAAGATTCTGAGACCTGTGTTTCACAGGTCCTGGACCAGCAGTGACTTCCGACCCTCTGCCGAGCTGCTGGGGAAGAATGGAGTGTTGGAGGAGCAGAGGTCTCTGAGTGAGTTAGCCTGGCGCGTTGGTTGGTGCTGGGACCTGCCATTTATATGTGGATCTTAATCCACTCAGTTTCTGCATGAAACTTTTGTCCACCCAGATTCTGTCCTTGGTTCAGTCAGCCACCACATTTCCATACACCTGGCAGATGCATCCCCCTGCCACTGCCACAGTGCAGGCCCTCAGTTCCTGTTGCATTTGTTGCTTCTAATGCCATGCTTCTCTTTAATTCTTACCTTCTTTCATTTCACCCTCCACTATCTCCAAAGTGACCTTTCTAAAACCCAGCTGTGTTGATATCACCTTTCTGGTTAAAACCTTCTACCCTCTTCTCACAGGCAGTGGATTTCATCAGGTGGCCTCTTCTCCTCTCACCACTCACCCTCATGCCACGTGCACTGTAGCTATTCCCGACTGCGTGCAGCTTCCTCCATGTGCCAAGCCTTTTCATCTCCCTGCCTTTGCACGTGCTGGTCCCTCTGCCTGGGTTCCATTCCACTTCCCTCCTGCACTGTGCACACTCCTTCCTTCCCTCCTCCAGCCTAATGCTAACTCTGAAACACAACCCTGTTGGTCCAGACACTTTATAATGTCTCATCAACACCACTGGATTCCTGATATGCTGGTGACTGCCTCTCTGTCCCCCAGAGAGTGAGCTCCTGCCTTGAAGGTAGTGATGTCCAAGGCCAGCACTTATCACTGGACCTCCTCCATAACATTGACAAGTACTTCCTGAATGATTGAGTGCGGTGTAGCCAATCATTGTTCACAAGGAATGCTTGTAGGGATGTGTGTGTTTCCACATTGAAGAAAATGTGTCACTTACCACCTTTGAATCTTCTAACCTTACGTCTGCCTTTTTAATGTGATTTTTCTTCTTAGGACTCAAGAAGAGGGAGACCGAGGTGTTTGTGGGCAATCTTCCTCTGGGCATCTCTGAGGTATTCTTCACTCTTTGTGTGTGAGCAGCTGCTTCCTTTTTTTTTTTTTTTTGGTCTCCCCCATATGACATTAATTTGCCAATAATGGAATTTTACCAGTTTTTAAAGATACTTTAGAGCTATGAGTGTGCAAGCGGTCACAATTGGTGACTAGACTGACCAACTCATCACAGTTTGCCTTGGACTTTTCTGGTTTTAGCCTCTGGCACGGTTAGTCCCCTCTCCTCTCATGTAGACCTGGATGGTTGGGCACCCTGCTTACTGCTTTGGATAGATGGAGGGGCTGTAGCGAGGCAGCTTGTTTTTAGGAAGGAGCCTTACTAGGGTTCAACTGCACATCTTTTGGTCACAGGGAGCTTTGGGTATCAGCCAAAAAACTGCACCCCTTACACTTTGACATGAACCAGTTGAGCCTGTGGCTGTGTATTAGAGAGTAGAATGTAAACAGCAGTATTTTTGACCCCAGGAATTTTAGTGTCTGTTTGGGGAGGCCAACTTTGATCCAGGGGCTGACACTCTACTGCTGAGCCAAAGCAGCCGGGGCTGCCATCCATTTACTCTTAAACCTACTAGTTCAACAGTCTTCTAAAACTGTTTTTGCTGAATATACTAGTAATTACACAATGCCAGATGGATTAAAAACTTTCAAATGCCTTCTGTTTCCATAATTATGATAGAATGGATAACCTGAAAACCCTCTCACAATAAAATACTTGAAATAGAGGTTAAAATATAAGAAACACCACTTTTATTTATTTATTTTAAAATTTTATTTTCAATTACAGCTTACATTCAATATTATTTTGTATTAGTTTCAGGTGTGCAGCATGATTGGCTAGACAATCATATACTTTACAAAGTGTTTCCCCCAATATTTCCAGTAGCCATCCGGCACCATACATAGTTATTACAATATTATTGACTATATTCCCTGTCATGTACTTTACCATAACTATTCTGTAACTATAAATTTGTACTTTTATTAAAAAATATATTTTTATTGATTTTTTAGAGAGAGTGGAAGGGAGAGATAGAAACATCCATGTGAGACAGAAACATCAATCAGCTGCCTCCTGCACGCCCCCTACTGGGGATTGAGCCCACAACCTGGGCATGTGCCTTGACCTGGAATTGAACTGGGACCTCTCAGTCCATGGCAGGAGCTCAATCCACTGAGCAACACCGGCTGGGCTAAATTTGTACTTCTTAATCCCCCCACTCCCCTAACCTCCTCTGGCAATCTGTTTTAAGAAACACCACTTTTAAATGCATGTCCAAGACCTAAGAAAGTAAGAAAAATTAGAGGGCCCCAAATAAGCAGGTAACTGAAAACCAGAAGAGTCTGGTTGATGCCCCAGGGTCTGTACCTGCCTCAAAAAACAAAAGACTTGGATTATAATGGCCATGTCAGGATAGGAGATGACACCTTGGGCCTCCGTAAGGAAGGGAGTGTTAACTGATGCCTCTGCAAAAGTAGGATCCTTAAAGGGCTGGACTGTCAGTGAAAGGGTGTACCACAGAACCTTTGCTCGCTGGCCCAGAATGGTGTTGAGGCAGCTGTTCTGTCTTGGCCTGGGTCTGAGGCTCATGGGGCTAGCAGTCTCCTAACAGTAGGCCTGGTTTTATGTGAATTAGGGTTTAAATTCATATTACCTGCGTGGTCTGGGAACCTTAAGCCAAAAACTAGCCTTTTTAAAGTTAAAAACCAAATTCATGAGGAAACACTTAAACTGTGAATGCAAGGAAACTTCCTAAGTCTGATTAAGTGTATCAAGAAAAAATATACAGAAAACATTATTATTATTTGGGGAACAGAAATATTTAAAACTCAAGAACAAGACATGAATACCTGTATCACCTTTTCTGTTTAATATATATATATATTTTTTTATCCTCACCAGAGGATATTTTTCCATTTTTTGTACAGATAGAGTGGGAGGGAGAGAGAGGAAGGGAGAGAGAGAGAGAAACATCGATGTGAAGGGACACATCGAGTGGCTGCCACCCGCACGACCAACCAGGGCCGGGGACAAACTGCAACCGAAGTACGTGCCCTTAGCAGGAACCGAACCCGGGTCTCTCCGGACCACAGGCTGACGCTCTAACCGCTGAGCCAAACTGGCTAGGGCTCTGTTTAATATTTTATGGGAGGTCTTAGAACAGTGAGGAAATAAAAAATGAATGGTATGAGAGAGAGGAAAATACAAAACTGTCATTATTTGTAGGTCATTACCTAAGTTGAAAGCCTAAAAAAATCTTAGATGCTAGAATTATTGAGATTTAGCAGCGTGGTTGAATAAAAGATAAATATACAGACGTCAACTTTATTTCTATACAACAGAAACCAAAATATAAAGAAGTAGAAATAATTGTAATAAAAGGTCTGTAAGATGTATGTACAGAAAATTATAAGACTTTATGGAAAGACATTAAAGAAGACCTAAGTAAACAGAAATAACATGTTATGGATAAGAAGACTCAGTTTTATGATTCTTTTTTTTTTAATCCTCACCCGAGGACATTTTTCGATATTTTGTTCAGATAGAGTGGGAGGGGGAGAGAGAGAGAGAAACATCGACGTGAAAGGGACACATCGAGTGGTTGCCACCCGCACGACCCAACCAGGGCCGGGGACAAACTGCAACCAAGGTACGTGCCCTTAGCAGGAACCAAACCCGGGTCTCTCTGGACCGCAGGCCAACGTGCTAACCGTTGAGCCAAACCGGCCAGGGCTATGATTCTTAAATTGATGATGTACTGATTGAATGTCATTTTGATCAAAACACACAAAGATTTTTAGAAAGAACTTGACAAGCTCATTTTAGAATTTATTTGAAGCAGAAAAGTCCATGAATAACTTTACTGTTCTAAAGAAGAGTAAGCGGGACAGGAGGAGAGCAAATGCTCTCCTATACATTTTCCTGGTGTGGGTGCTGTGCTCAGTGAAAAATAAAAAGACAAGAACGAGCGAAAAGGAGGTCCCACAGCCAAAGATGGGACAATTTGTGCATAAAATATACTAATGACTACGTTTGATTAAAATTCCTCAATGATAAAAAAGCAATAATTTATAATGATACCTAATGGAAAAAAGAAAACAAAACTGGACACATTTTTTTATGGTTATGAATTGACTCTGTTGGAATAACAAGATAAAATTTACTATAAAATTCTGAATAATTTAAAGGAAGGCCTGACAGATTCCATTGAGTATAAGGACCCCAAAGACCGTCTTGCCTTGGTCCTGTATCCTGTAAGTAGGGTCTTCATTGAGGTGTGATGAGTGAATGTCTCACTGGGCACAATTGAAAGTAGAAAGACAATAGTTTGTTAACATAAAACTTGATAATTAAAGGGAAAGAATAAGTGTTAATCTTGCTTTTCCACATAAATGCTATTTCAGGGCAAATGGCCCTTAGTGGATGAGGGAAAGTTTTTCTTTACAAAGGAACTCCAACTCATTAATACAGAAGAAATAGAATTATAAAATCATCATTAGGCAAACCATAGTAAAAAAAAAACCCGTTTTAGATGGTAGTTAATTAGAACATGGTAACTTCATTAGGTCAAGTATTGATGGGTAGTTTTACAGTGGTGGGATCAGGCTGTCACTGTTGGAACTTGCTAATTTATCACTAAAAGTGAGATAACCAGATAGAAGCCCCCTAAAATGACACAATGTTATTGAAGGAGAGCACACCATCTATAAAGTATTCTAGCCAAAAATTGTAAGTAATAACATATCTAAAAGCTCAATGGTGAATTTCTAGTTTGAAGAACATGGGGATAGAAGGTTAAGTTAAATGCTACCATAAAGAAGAGGTACTCTTTGCCCTGGCCGGTTTGGCTTAGTGGTTAGAGCATTGGCCCGTGGACCAAAGAGTCTTGGGTTCGATTCTGGTCAAGGGCATGCACCTAGATTGTGGTTTGTCCCTGGCCCTGGTTGGGGTCTTGTGGGAGGCAACCAGTCCATGTGTCCCTCTCATGTCGATGTTTCTCTCTCTCTCCCTCTTTCTCCTTCTCTCCCACTCTATCTGAAGATAAATAGAAAAATATCCTTGGGTGAGGATTAAAAAAAAAAAAGAAGAGGTACTCTTGTAGGACAGTTGACCTGGTTTCTGGAACAAGTCAAAGTCAGGGAGAAATTAAAGTAGGGGATCTGATACAGATTTAAAGAGATTTAAAAGAGACTTAAGAGAAATGAAAACCATATATAATGAGTTGACATTGTTTTTGATCCTAATTTGGACAGTACAAATCTGAAAAGGTGTGTATGTGTGTGTGTTTTCAAGAGAAGGTGGAAGAGAGAGAGGGAGGGGAGGAGAGAGACAGACAGACATGGGTGTGAGAGAGACACATTGATTAGTGCCCATACCGGGGCTGGGGATCAACCTGCAGGCCTATGCCGTATCTCCTATGTTCTTTCTCTTGCTTATTCCACATCAGCCTCACTGGACTTCCCTCTAGACTTTGACCCCACTCTAGGGCCTTTGCACTTGCTGTTCCCTCTACTTCACATGCTCTTCTCCCAGGTGTCAGCCCCTTTGCTCGATATCACCTTCTCAGAGGACCCTCCCTGTCCGTTCTCCCTAGACTGCAGCCCCTCACTCCTATCCCCTCTCTTACTTTATATGTCTCTTAACGGTTATTGCTGTCAAACTTACCATGGACCTATTCACCTTACTGATGATCCGTCTTCTTCAAAGAAGATAGGCCCCAGGAGGGAAGGAGGTTTTTGCTTACTCTGTTCACTGCACCTGAAACATTTTGTAACACAGAGTAGGCACAAAATAAATATTTATTGAATGTATGAGAGGCATGAAGACAGTGAGTATGGACAAAATTTTCAAGGATTTTTGTAATAAAAGTAGGGAAAATGGGGTGGTAGCTGGAAGAGGATGTGGGGTCAAAGGTGTTATGTGTTGTATTAAGATAGCAAATATGAGAGCTCACTTGTATGCTTGTGTGGTGGAGAGGGGGATTGATGCAGCAGAGAGGGA